GTGGCCGAGTATAACAGTGTGAGTACGGTGGCACAAGGGTTTGCTTGTGATGGGCTTTAACATCTTTTGTGGTTCCACATGCATTGGGATGAGCTTTTTCTCACAGGAAGAGTATGTGGTGAATTGTGTATGCTTAGCACTGAAAGTAGAGAAGTGGGGAATTTAAACTTCTTAGCTGTGTGTGATAGACCTAGCCAGTGAACAGCTGGTGGAGAGACTCTTTTAGCTCGAGGGGTGACAGCTTGTGTACTTGGGGGTGCAATAGGATTAGATAGCAATTTCCATTCATTTCAAAATAACCTTGCCCAGGAGGGTCAGGAATCTGGAGGTGTAGGAACCTATAGCTCACTGTTTGTTACTGTAAGTTTTATTGAACATTATGCTCTAATTAAAAAAAAAAAAAAAAAGAAAAGGAAAAAAGCTTTTGAAATCAAATTTGACCTGAATATAACTCTATTGGCTTCTGCGTTCTTACACTAGGGATTAATTTGGCCCTTTCTACTTTTATGTAATGAGCTGATTGCCACAGTATCTTATCCTTGTTACACAATTGCCCTTGTCTGGCTGTGTCCCTGGAGCACTCTGTGTGTGTGTGTGTTTCTAGATCTAGGGTCTCACCTTGACTGACTGTGTATTCAGTCCTACAGCCTCACCCCAACTACAGGTACAGGCTTGCCTGGGGCTTACACTGACAGAGCGTATATGTTTTGTATATATGTGCATGTTCATTCCAAGTTTGAACACTGTGTACAGACAGGCATACACATATGTGGGAACTCAGGGGCTTTTTGTTTGGCTGGCTGTATCCCTGCAGTGTTTGCTTTTGCAGGGGGTAGGAGAGAGAGGGAAGGCTACTGTCAGAGATCTCATTGAAACAAGAAGGAGCATAGGAAAATACATTCTTTATTATTCTTCTGTAACAACAAGCCAGAAATATAATATACCTTTAAAAATTTTCTGTCTCATGCCAAAGAAACCTCCATTCAATCATTTTAGAAAATCTTGTTGCTCTCCCTCAAACAGTAACGAAAAGAAAAAGAAATCACAAGTGCCATCTGTTCCCTGCAAGAAATGTGCCTGCCTGTACCACAGGTGGGTGTGTGGGGGAGTGGGGGGAGCAGAAGGGATGTTTCTGGTGGCCCTGCCAGCCCCTACATCACCCTGGCACGTGTTGGACCTGCCTGCCCCAGAAGACCGTTTCCTAAGGGCAGGCACCTGCCTGTAGCAAAGGGTGCATTCAGGGGGATTCCCCCCATGCCTAGCCCTACAGGGACAATGGGAGCCCTGTCCCTACACACCAGAGGAACCCATTGCCTGGGCACATAAGGACCACCGGGTCTCATTCTATATCCAGCATCCCACAGGAGAGCTTCATTTCTGACCATGCTGGGTACCGTGTTCCCTAGAGTGCCTGTGGGCAGTGCAGCAGGTCAGTCACACTAGGGCAGCCTGTTCTCCGAGTGTGCTGGGGAACAGAGTAAGAGCCTGTTTGCAAACAGTAATATAACGAGGGCATTTTGAGTGTGGCTAGCAGGACAAGGGAGGGGACTCTCCCCCTGTACTCCACTCTCGTGAGACTCCACCTGGAGTACTGTGTCCAGCTCTGGGGCCCCAGTACAGGAGAGACATGGACCTGTTGGAGTGAGTCTAGAGGAGGGCCATGAAGATGATCAGAGGGCTGGAGCACCTCTCCTGTGAGGACAGGTTGAGAGAGTTGGAGTTGTTCAGCATGGAGAAGAGAAGACTCCAGGGAGATCTAATTGCCGCTTACCAGTTTCTGAAGGGGCCTACAGGAAAGATGGT